TGTCAAATGGCATTGTTGTGTAAGCCACAAGTATAGGTCTGATCAAGAAAACTATAGGAGTTATGGGCAAAAATATTTGATAACAGGAAGCAGTGTAAACAAATTTTCAAATTTCTCTTAATCTATTTGACTATTTCTCATAATTTTGCCTCTTGTTCACTTTTTTTTTTGGTAAATTGCACACCCATGCACACATATGTATTTATGTATTATGTAAGTATGTGGCTATACAATATACCCATACCTTCTACATATAAGCAAGAAGACATAACTGTACCTGTTATCTGATATTTGGATTCTGTTCCAGTAGAGTGGTCTCATGGGACAAGATGGTTCAACTGCGGGTTTTCGAGGACCTTGACTCATTGAAGAAAAATTAAAGCCAAGTGGTAGTGGCGGCGGCGGGGGGGGTCCTGTTCCGGTTGGAGGCGGCCCTGGTGGGGGAGGTAGAGATGGCTGATGAACACCAAAAGCTAAAGGAAGCGGTAGTGGTGGTGCTGGCGGCGGTGGCGGTTGGGCAGAACTTAAGCTTGTTGGCAATGGTGGTGGCTGTGGTGGGATTAAATCAGATAGCGAGAAAGGAAGAGGAGGTGGAGGAGGAGGAGGAGGAGGAGGTGGCGGCACTGTTTGGTCCAACTTTGAAAAAACATTCCCTGAGGTTTGGCCAGTATTGCATATTTCCTTATGATCAACTGAAGCCAAAACACTGTTATTCAAATAGGGTTTGGAAAGTTTCTTTGGAATTTTCTGATTATTTTTTGGTGTCCGTGTTTCATCTTCATTTGGCTTTATAAAAGTTTCTCTATCTGTCTGGATGCATACATTTCTGTATGTTTTTGGTGGGTTGTCATCTTCAGTGGATACACAGGCATCCTTTGCTTCTTCACCTTGCTTGTACAACTTATTTTCCAGTTCATTTTTTAAATATAGAATGTGTTCCTCAAGCTTTGTTATTGATAGAGCATGTTCTCCTCGAATACGAAAGACTTCGAGTTCAAACTCAGACTGCGAAAAAATATTGAAAAGTCAATGTATAAACCATTGTGAACCTTTGCCTGATTTATTGTGCATACGATAAATGGTGTTTTACAGTGGTCTCCCCCAAGCTACTGTTCTCCAGGCATGTCAGAATTAAATTTCGCCCCCTACAGCAAAAGAACATTCTTGACAAGAGAGTTTGCCCAATGTAGCTGGACGATACCAGACTTCCGGAAGTTAATCTGCGCTATTAATCGCTCTTTGTCTTATGAACTTATGATAAGTAAAATGCCATGGTGTGTTAGTTAGATTATTGTGCTCTCTCTACAAAAACAGGTGTATTTTCAGCAACATATTTACACAGGCAAAATGTAGTCTTCTTATTAATTTTACAGCTTTCCTTAAGCAGCATCTTGGCAGCATATGATTTATTGAGCTTTCTGCTTTGTTTTTCCCCCTTAAAATGTGGGAGTTTATTCATATACTGATCATTCTAGGATACAATATCTGCACATCATAATTTTGGTACGAACAGTCCCTTATGCTACCTTCTGACTGTAGGGAAAAAAAATAACAACTTTTAGTTTGCATCATTTCTACTTTCCTTGAAACCAAAACAAAAATGTTGCATACTACTTCATAAGAAAAAAAAGAGGCTTTGAAGTAAACTCTTATATCCTTTACCAGACATTCTTCTTTGCAGGAAAAGGGTAATTCTCAGACTATATCAAAAGTTATCAGAAATAATTTCCTCTGAAGATCAAAGACCATTAGAGAATCATGGAAACATTATGAAGACCATTCTCTACATCTTGGAGCATGTCACATTGTTTCTACTTAGTCAGTCATGAACTGGAAGAAAAACTAATAGTCTGTATGAAAAAATTTAGGTTGCCTAAATTCATAATACTTATATAATACAATATATGCCTTCCATGATAAGTAAATATAGTATAAATCTGCAGCCATGCTAGCAGCTGATCTTTCTCTTTGGTAATAATAAAAATTCTACTGACATTTATTTCAAGCATATAAAGTATACTAAGAAATATTAGGCATAGTGCAGCAGTTTATAACCAGTAATAATATTATTAGAGCACTATAGGAATTACAGGACAAATGCAGCTGATAATGACATATTTTCTTAAGAATTTCCCCTGTATTCCCTATGGATTTTAGAGATGCATAGAATATATTGCAATAATCATTTATTCTGTGCTTCTACAAACACAGTTATCGCAGACCTGAAAATTATTACACATGGAAAGTCTGATTCAGGGCAAGTCACCTTTACACATATATGTGCATTTTTCCTTCCAAAATCAAAGGACAAGTAAGCAAAATATTAAGTAAAATGTTATTGTTACATAAGTAACAAGTTTGTCAAACATTAATGGGATGCAAGAATAAAGGTTCTGATCCAGAAAGGATTATCAAACCAAGGTTAGGAAAATCTTTAAATTATCTTCTGGTTTGGGACATCAAGCAGAAGTGATACTTTCTCTCCTCTAGCCATCCAGTAAATTGGTAAAAAAGATTGAATTTCAAATAATAATAATAACAAATCACAAAGCAACTATTTTTTTCTTTCTATTACAAAGGGCCACTGCTTAGCTCCACTCATATACCGAACTGATACCTATTGACATACTAGCTTCTAGGGAAGAACACTTATGTATATGAAGGCCAATACCAGCTAAAGAGCTGGCAGTTGTGATTTCATGTTGATGTTATAATAATTTACTAAACTTGCATGCTGTTCAACTCTCAACAACTCTGGGAAGCTTCCAACAATCAATAAATTTGAGCTATTAGAAATACTTTGGATTCTAATAATTTTGTGGCATCAAACCATGTTGCCTCCCGATAAACAACTGATAATAGCCAAGAAGGGGTTCAATATCCTTCCATATAAAACTTAGTGGGATACGTTACAAGATGTTTTCAAATTATGGATTATGTGTCGCCAGTGAATTATGGGGAAATGGAAAGCATGATTGGAAGCGGACTCTGCCATAGAACAGGAATAACGTTTGGAATAAGAAAAAGGAAGCATTATTGAATTTTTTTTGTGATTGCTGTCAGAACATGTTCCCACTTAGCCCAGAGTTCTGAGTCCAGTTCTGCATGCGCAAGGCTCATGGCTTGTGCACCCACAGCTGGGTTGCTGTCAAAAATTGTTCTTGCTCTGCCTATGCAGTAGCTGCACAAGAAAGACCTAGCTTATCCAAGCAAAGCAAAGAGGAAAGCCCAGCACACACAAATCTAATAAAGATTCTGGCTTAGCATTTCAATACTTTCTCATGCTCTGCCAATTTGTCCAAGTAAAAGCCCAAGGCAACTTTTGAGAGTGCTCTTGCCTTTCATACAAGCCAATGAAGTAAGCATTTTCTATGGCTGTTGTTCTAAACAGCGAATAATGATCCAAACAAATATGGACTGAATGAGAAGTGATAGTAGCTGTTTCCAAAATAAAACCCATATTATGGGAATTTGAGCCTCTTTCCTGTCTTGCAAAAAATTATGTCAGTGTTGTTGTTGTGTGTGTATTCCAAGTGGGACTGTGCACACAGCTTCCAGATGCTAGCATCTTGTTGATCCAAACTGCTGGAAATCAACCATGCAAAAGCCAAAGTTTATTATATTTACCAGCTAGCATGCCAATTACCCCACATTTGGAAAATTGACAACTGCCCTATAAAGGCATTTAAATATCTACACATTTATTTCCAATCATCTTCTTCCTAGAAATTTAACAATTCAAAACTTTTTCAGTAATTAAGACACATAACCAATAGTGTAGCTAATATCTAACCTTGAACAAATATTTTGAATATGTTGAAATATAATACACTGATGTACATATTTTATAACAGGCAGAGGGAAGTGGTGTTTTTAGAGCCCCCAATGAATTCACAATGTTAGAAATTAGCTAGGGATTCTTAGCCTGAACTAACTTTGTGTTATCATCCTAAGAGGCCTTTAGAATGTCTTGAATTTTGATGTGGTGTAACTTATCTCTTCTTTGGACACAGCTTTTCTTCTACTTTTAGTCCTAACAGTGGTAAGTAGATCTCTTACTTCTCCTAACACCTTGTTCTGCCATTAGCAATATATTGCTTTAGCAGGTGGAAGTGACTCATGCTTCATCATACCTCCCTCCTATTACTGCCTAACAAGACTTTGTGTTTTGCAAAGTAAATAAACAAATGGGTGTGCTTGAGTAACCAGACCTGAGCTGTAAAACATGATACAGCAACAAAATGCAGATTTTTATAGCCCAATCCTTCACATGTATATTTGAAAGCAAAAGTACTATACACATGCATGTTTTATAGTACTTAATCTCAAGTAAGTTTTACAGAAGAACATTTGGTAAAGTTTATTTCATAACGAATCTGGTAGAAGTATAAGGTGGCACAGTATTCTTTCGTATTCTATGATACTTTGCCACCTCACTCTGACTCTTGTTACTTGCCCGTGGGCAATTTTCTGGTTGAATACAGGAAGTCTTCAACTTATAACCATTTGTTTAATGATCGTCTGAAGTTACAATGACACTGTAAAAAGTGACCTATGATCCGTTCTCATACTTATGACCATTGCAGCATCTCCATGGTCACAGGATTAAAAATTGGGCGCTTGGCAACCACAAGTATTTACAATGGTTACAGTGTCTCCAGATCATGTGATCACCATTTGCTACCTTCCCAACTGACTTCCAACAAGCAAAGTGCAAGTGTGTGTGTGGGAATTCATTTAATGACCACATAGTTAACAACAACTACAAATAAAATCATAAAATTGACCACTTAACAATCACCATACTCATAAATGGATATTCTAATCCCAATTGTGGTTTTAAGTGAGACTACCTTTACTATAAATTCAATACTTAGTTCTAACATTTATACATTGAATTTTTGAATTTTAGGATCCTGACCTACCTTACTGTTAAATTTGAAGACTGCTTATAATAATAAATTAGTATTTATTAATCTATTATATTAATTTAAGTAAATATTAATTAGTATTAACTATTAACATTAAAATAAAAAGACATATTATAAAAACAGATAAGTATATGATTATCTCACTCTCTGAGATTTCCAGAAAATGATGGTTTTATTTACCAAAGAATTAAATTTGTAATTCTCTTAAAGAATTTAATGAAAGTGCACCCTAATTCTTAATCCAGTTGCTCACTTCATAGAAATGTTATTTCTTTTCACTTTCTTTTGAAGAGGTCACTATGATAACTATGTTTTCCCGAAAATAAGACCGGGTCTTATATTAATTTTTACTCTAAAAGACTTATTTTCTGGTTAGATCTTATTTTAGGGAATATGGTACTAAATGTGTCCATCTGGCTGACAATTTTAACTGGAACTTATTTTTGGGATAGGACTTATATTATGAGCATTCTTTGGATCCAGCTGTACTTAACAACTATCGTCCAGTCTCCAACCTCCCCTTTATCGGGAAGGTTGTTGAGAAGGTGGTGGCCTACCAGCTTCAGCGTTCCTTGGAGGAAGCCGATTACCTGGACCCCTTCCAGTCGGCTTCAGACCTGGTTACAGCACAGAAACT